ATTTTGTTCTATTATATCATATATATTTTTTTATAGGCCCCAATTTAGTATTTTGCCTAGGGCTCCAAAAAGGTCAAGAACGAGCCTATCCGTTTTAAGGCCATATCTGCAAGGAATGGTAAGAAGGGGATTGCTCTAAAGAGTTTAATTTATTTAATGGAGATTTGTAAAGATATTAGTAAATATTTTCTATTTAAAGTCATTTATCTTATGTAATTATATTAATGAAAGTTTTAATTGTTTTTAAAATTGTTGTTTTGAAAATCTTGAAATATATATATATATATATATATATATATATATATATATATATATATACACATATGAGGTTTAAATTTTTCACTTTTTCTTCAAATTAGAATCTAAGTATTTAGAAATAGTTTCTACATTCATCTATCTTTTAACTGTTTTAATAAAATAATTTATGGCATTTCCATTATTTTGTAAAAGATTGAGAGAAGGATGTTACAAACTTTAAAATCTCAGCTCAAGCTTCTGCACAAAAATTAAGTCTTTTTTAGTCAAATTGTCCATAATTGGAATAAAATCTAAAATTCTAAACTATTTACACAATTATGAATATTAATATAATTTTTATGGTATTTTCAAGTTTATTTAGTACTTTACTACTTATTTATTAACAAAAACTATGTACGCCCCAAATTGTATAATATTAATTATTGTTAGTTATGTAAATTTAAATACATATATATATATATATGTGTGTGTGTGTGTGTATAAGTGTAAATGAATATGTGTGTGTGTGTGTATATATATATATATATATATATATATATATATATGTATGTATGTATGTGTGGATGTATAATTGATTGGATTGGACTGGTCGGATTGAAAATGAGCTAAGTGTCTAAGTGCAGGGTGTAATACTGGGCTGTCCTCGCTACAGCGAGAGGGCCCTGGGAGGAAGGAACGAAACTGTCACCTTTTCGCTATAGCGATAGAGCGACAGTTTGGGGGTGCATTTCTGGGTGCAATCTTTCTGTAGTGAGAGGGTCTAGTTGTAGCAATAGGGTCTCGCTGTAGCGAGATTCTGCAAAAACCAGAGTATAGTTTCGTCTGAGATTTTCACTATGACGACAGAGGGTGTCACTGCAGCGAGAGATGCCTCGCTACAGCGAGAGTGTCGCGATCTGAGGAGTTTTAAAAGGAGGTTTAGGGAGTTGAGATTCATTTCTCAAATTCCCTCCCAAATCTCTTCAATCCTCTTAACCCAAAGCCCTATTCCACCGATTAATTGCCCCCAAAGCCATTCAGGAGCTTGATTGAAGGTTGAATCCGTGTGGGGAAAGCTTGGAGGTGAGTTTTAATGGTTAGAGTTTTGATTTGTCATCCCTTTCTCTATTTTCATGGTTTCCCTAGGTTCTTATGGAGTTTCCCCATGTGTTTAGGACAAAATCTGTGAGGGAAAACACCTCTTGGTGGATTTAGCGTGTGGAATGTCGATCTGAGGTAAGAAGGGACTCTACCGTACTCTTTTTATGTGTAATTGATTGAATATAGAGTTGTGGCTGAGTTAGAAGCTAGAAAACGTGCAGAGAATGAAAGTTGATTGAGAAATGAAACGTGGGCCATGTGCATTGATATGTCAATATTGTGTGTGTTTACCCGAAATTGATGAATGTGAATTGTATGCTAGATGTTGCATGATAGAATGAATATTGTAAACAAATGTGGGCCCAAGGGCCGTGTAATATAGTTGAATATTGGCCATGTGCCATGTAATGTGAAATGAATGTGGGCCTAGCACCGTGTATTCGAATGCAATGTGAGTTGGTGCCGTGTGTAAGCATGATTATTGCATACGTGAATGGAATATGTGTAAATGGGCGTCTTAGCTCTGTTGTAATGTGTTGTGAATGGTTTAGCGATACACTGTGGGTGTGGAAGATGAGGACGGTAGAAATACCTTGGGGAAGAGGGAGTGGTGGTGACACTAATTGTGGAACGGGTGCACCACGGGCCACACACTCTCTTCCTGACTAGACATCTGACCACTATCTTTGCTGAGCGACCTATGACTGCCCACGTTGTATCTGTGAGGCGGGGGTGGTGACCATTCATGGTGTTAATCTGTAATCACAGTGCCACTGTGAGTGTGGCTGGTGTGCGTATGCATGAGTTTGTGTATTGTACTTATAGATGTGAAATGCTGCCGATGCCGTGAATGCGTCGGTGTCAAATTGACATGAGCTGTGTGATAATGCTACCTGTGATTATATTTGTTTAATGTATTGGAAATGTGCTGGAGGTGAAACTCTATGTTGACTGTGTTTTTTAGTATTGTAGAGTACTCACCCTTACATTCATTTTTCAGGTAATCAAGATGATTAGCACCGGACTCAGTGAAGGGGTGGATGGAACTGCTATAGGACTTATGATATTATTTTGAAAACTGTTGTATTTGAATAAGTCCTGTAGCAACTATTTGATATAATTTGTAGCCCCCTTTCTTTATTTGAAATGGTTGATGAAACTTGAATTGAAAATGGAAATTTTATTATTTCAAAAATTTGCGAAATTCCTTATTTATTGAAATTAAATTTAAGGTGTCACAAACTATACTAAAAATGTAGATTTATCAGCCCTCTTGCTACAGTGAGAGACTCTCGCTGCAGAGAGAACGTAACAGATGCACACTTCTTTCCTAGGACTTTCTCGCTACAACGAAGATGCCCCTGTAGCATACACTCAGCCTACATTTCTAATCAGTCCAAACATATTCAATCTCAATCCATAATCAACATTCACATTTAAACCGTGATATACACACATATACATACATACACATATACATCCATATCACCACACAGAATCAAACGCACATTTAATTAAACCCACATATTTATCACTAATTAAAATATCATTACAAAATTTGGAGTGTTACAGATTACTTTAGATTTATTTAATTTCTTTGTATTTTAATTTATTAATTATGTTCTTGCTTGCATTCAAAATCTTCCCAATTTTGTGTGTTTTGTTTAGCATTTGTATCTAAAGTCCTCGAGAGAACAACCTAGGTTTGTCTCTTAGTTTACTACATCTAAATTGCTTTTTATTTGACTAAGTACGAAATCAATCATGTCCTCACCTTTATATAAATATTTGATTGGTTAATGGAACTCCTAACAACTTCCAAAGATAGGGATGGATCCAAGAATTACATGAAAGTTTTATTAATAACTTTTGAGCTAGACTACTAATAGTTGCACATGTGAATATTTAGCATGCATATTATCCTACATTGCATTAACCCAAAAATTTGACGAATGTGTTGTGTGATTGAACTATAATTTTGTTTTATTTCTTTTTTTGAATTTTGGTACTTGATGTTGCATCTCGCTCCTTTGTTTCTGTGGTGAATTGTTTGTTGTTGGCTTGCTCTTTTCTTTTTGGTATTTATAGATTTATCGAATGTTGATCTCTCAAACTTTCATGGATATTGAGATCATTTTTTAGAAGGATGGTGGAGAGTGGAAGGAGTATTGTCCCAACTACCAAAGTACCTTCTGAGGATGGGTCATCATCTTTACTAAAGTTTGTTATGGACTAGTCCTCTTACAAATTTACTTTTGAATCCCCCTTCGAAAGGATTAATAATGGCTATTTAATACTTGGCTAGTTAGTCCCGTAGAATGGATGAACTTTGTGATGTATGATATACGTGACTGCATTTTTAAAATATTTCAATATAAATAGGTAGAGAATCTAAGATTCAATTGCAGTTGACATTGATGATTAGTTGTGTGAGTGAAATTGAGTCATCCCCTAATAGAAAATAACCATTATTTATGTTGAAGTGTATTATAAGTCATGCTCTAGGGTGAAATAAGACTTGGTTTGGCTAACCTAGTAAAATTACTCAAAATTTCTCATAAAAGATCCAAAATCAAAGTGAATTTTAGGCTACAATAGAGCTATCCTTTTGTTCACTATTTTTTGTCATATGCGGTGAATAAGCTTATAACTATATTATACTAGATGTGGACATGTGGATTTGGTTCATTTGCTAGTCGTCACATATTCCTCCTTCAAATTAAAAATCCTTATCCTTGCCTTTAATGATCAATTTTGATTTAGTTTGTTTGACTAGTTGGTTCCATTTAGTAAGCTCTTAATGTATTTAATCATTTAGTCCAATTTTATTACACTTAAATGCTATAATTTCTAGTTGAATTGCAAGTCTTATTGTCATTGTTCAAGGCTTCCCATTTGCTTAAAATAAAATATTGATTAAGTCAGATAAATATCCCTACCTTTTAAGTTATACAAAGCTTAGTTTTCATTGGTTGTTAATGGTTGAGTTTCTTTTCCAAATTAAAGGCTTGTACTTGACTCTTATCCTTTCACTTAGTCGAATAATTGCATTCAATTTTGAATTCCATCATAAGCTTTGAAAAATGGCATGAAATAGGCATAAGATTGCTGTAAATTTAGTACTCTTGTAAGATAGTTTGTGTCTAACTTTTCTTTGACTTTTTTCATCAATTTTGGAATGTTCTTATGTTCGAAGAGAGTACTAACATGTAATTAAAATTCTAGGCTAATTTTTCCTAACAATTTATGGAACAAGAAGTTAGTTAATTTTCAAGACTTATAAGACTAGGCTTTTAGCTAGTTTTGTCAATTGTCATTCTTGTTTGTTTCCAGTTCATTTCCTTGTAGAGATACACGTATGTTCACGTGAATTTTATCTTGAGTAAGGGGAGACTTAATTATTTCTTAATAAAATTTCTAGTACATTTATATAATTAATAATTGTCTTTTTAAAATTTTGAATATTCAAATTTATATTCCCTAAATTGTGGGCATGAATATGGTATGTTGCAAAATATAAGCATTTTATATATAACTATACAAGTGAATCACAAGATAATGATGCTTAAATTCACTCGTTTTCAACTACTAATGAGTGCTAAAAATTGATTAGGCAAAAATAGGTTAAGTATTATAAGTATGCATGATAATAGGCTAAGTGATTAAGCATGGATATTACACGTAGTAGTTTTACTTTCCCAACTATCTGTAATGGATATTGATGAAGATGGTAGTTTCACATTCTTCAACAATCCAACTTCACCCAATTCAGGGGAGGCTAGTACAGTATTATGTAAAGCCTCAGAAGCATGGACATAATGCTCTAGCTCTGGATCATTATTCCAACTTTCAATTCTCTTTAATACTTGTAGCACTTCATCCATGGAAGGTCTTAATTCCCTGTCCGGTTGCAAACATTGAAAAGCCAATTTTGCCACCTGAACTATCATCCTTTTAACCTCATTGTCTGAATCAAAACCAAGAGAAGGATCAACTAGCTCACTTAATGCACTTTTTCTAATCTTCTTTATGGCTAGATTTGACAAGTTAATTTCATCCTTTTGCCTATTCATATCAACAGCTGGCAAAGATGATATTAACTCAATAAGCACAACCCCAAAGCTATATACATCACTTTTGCTAGTTAGCTGGTAGCATTGGTAATATTCTGGGTCAACATAACCTGGGGTACCTTGTGGTGCTGTGGAGACATGAGTGATATCATTGGAGAATAGTCTTGAAAGGCCAAAATCTGCTACTTTAACACAATAACTATTGTCAAGGAGAATGTTGTTAGTTTTGACATCACGATGAATGATCTTAGAAGCATGAAGATATGTCAATGCACTGGCAGTTTGTATAGCTATTTTGATTCGTACAGTCCATGGTAAAAATCCAGGCTTTGCTAATTCCCCATGGAGATGGCTGCCAACTGTGCCATTTGGAATATATTCATACACAAGCAATAGTTCACGACTTTGATATGAAGTGCAACCATAGAGTGACACCAGATTTCTATGGCGTAAACGCGTGAGGATCTGCACTTCATTTGTAAATTGCTCTACCCGTTTGTAGTTATGATCATATAAGTGCTTGACAGCAACTTCCCGCCCATCTTTGAGTTTTCCTGTATTTTAAAGATCTAAGCATAAATTATACAAGATGTAGACTAATTAACTTTTCAACTAACATTAAATTGACTAGTTTTTAATTTGAGTGCTTACCGAAGTAGACAGTGCCAAAGCCTCCATCTCCAATTTGTTTATCAATGTCAAAATGATTTGTTGCTTCTTCAAGCTCTTTGTAGGAGAAGAAGGGAATTCCAAAGTACACACTGTCACTTTCTACATTTGGATTTAAAGAGGAATTAGAGTGAGTTTTTCTTGTTTGGAACTCACTGTGTGAGGAACTATTTTTTCTTTTGAAAAGTAAGAGTAGCCCAATCATCAAGATGAATAAGAATCCAACACCTAAACCTGTAAAAAAGGTTAAAAGAAAATATCAATAGAAGATATATACTAAAACTTGAGCTTGTAGATCTGGATAAGTTATCTTTTAAAGAATATTTAAAAACATGTTCAATTTTTGTACTTCTGAAAGGGAGAATCTGTTAGGGCTACGGGTAAGGATATGGGCTCATATGGGGCAGAGCCAACAAAATGGAGGGTTTACAGTAGAAGAAAGAAGAAATGTATAGGCAAAAAGGGTGATGTGACAGAGAGAAAGTAAGTGGGTAAAGAGGGAGTCTGTTATAGTAGTGGAGTTGGTGTGTAAGAGGGTATCTTGTCTAAAAATTAAGAAATTAGTTATGGAGGGAAGGCATTAGCTCTCTATAGGAGCAGAGCTCTGGGCAATAATACTCATTATACTGATCTTTTCCTTTTTATATCAAGTAATATCAACTTTCTTTTCCTCTTTTCCTTGTTTATTTTTATTGGTTTGCATCAAAAACTAAAAAAGTAAAGGTTATACTTTAAATTTTTCAAGCTGATGAAATATTTTATTTAGAAAGGGAGCATTGGCAAAATAGTTAAGGTTACTATTTTGTGATTAGGAGGTCATAGGTTCTAGTCATGGAATCAACTTTGTTATCTTACCCTTTTATGAAATATTTGATTCAAGATAAATAAATTTAGATAAACACTGAATATATAAATATGACATAAAAGGTATATTACCTATGCCTAGTTTTCCTGCCATATTCAATCTCTTAGCTGCTGCAACTGAAGTTTGAAGAAACAATTAAATTAGATTAAACAATAAAGAAATGCAGTACGATAAGAGAATTCTTTTATTTTTCTCTTTTTCATCTTTTTGCATTATCATGTTTGTATGTGTTTAAAATCCCAATTTTTGTTCAAATTATACCAAGAATATAACTTATGTTTTACGAATCATATTTTACTTTTTTTTTTTTTATCTTGTTTTGTATTTTAAAACATCATCTTTTATCCCTTTTTGGAAATGTTGAAATCCAAATCTTTTAGAGTAAGATAATACAACTCTATTTATTAACTTAATTGAATCAACTCAAGAAAAGATCTACATTAATTCACATCATTATTTAAAGTTCTTATTAATTAGTACCAAAGTTTTGTCTCTCAACTACAACAATGGTACAAGTGGTGAGATTAATATTGCAATGATTGCTTGAAACTATTCACAAGGCTAGTGTACAACTAGCTTGTGTGGGTGTTGGTGGAACTATATAGTATGGTGAAATGTAAAGATTAGTAACGTACGAAACTTGAGTCTACATTGAAAGTGGTTCTAATGCAAGGTTTACAAGGCCTTAAACTATCACTACAATGACTATTTTTTGTGATGTGATTATTTCTAATTTTTATCATAGTAACTTAAATTAGACTCATTGATTCTTTCAAGTTTTGGTGGTATAATTTTCAAAACCTTTCCTTACTTGACCTTTCATGTAGTGTTTATGTTGTATAATCAAGAACTAAATTTTATAGCTTTCTATATATATAAAAAAGAACTATTATTCTCTAATAAATAAATTTACAAGGAAAATATATTCTTAGGGAGAGCAAATAAAGGCAACTACTACAAATGCAACTCTTTTGCACCATTGTAATAATGAAACATTATCATGTTGACATTGACCTTTGTTGTTTTAGTGACAATTTGTACGTAACTTAAATTAAACTCATTGATTTTCTCAAGTTTTGGTGGTATAATTTTTAGAACCTTACCTCACTTGAGCTTTAATGTAGTGTTTATGTTGTATAATCATGAACTAAGGTTCTGAGAATCATACCACCAAAACTTAAGAGAATCAATGAGTCTAATTCACAAACTTAAACAAAGTTGAATTGAATTTGAGACAAAAAAGGGTAAAGTAAAAGCTAGCAGGAAGTTAATAATTATAAAAGACTATATCACTTTTGGATAGTACTCATAGAGTTCTTTTCTCTCATATGGTCAAAGTAGTGGCGCTAGAAAACATAAAACTATTAAAACATTCTTTGTATTTTCTAGTTGGATCTCTCTAAGCTTACCTGAATGATCATCACTATTTTGTAGTCAAATATACTACAATATTGGTGTCTATTATTCATTTTAGGTGAAAAGGAAAACAATTGTCGCTAAGATATCCACACAATCAAATGAAGATGGACACTCTTTCTTAGTATCCTTTTCTATTTACAGCCACCCAAAGAAAGAGAGTGAATCGAGAAAAAAGAGCAAAAGAAACACCTAAATTGTGGCCATCAAAGACCACTTCACCTTCTTCACTTTATAACACCTTCCTATTCCATTTGACTTTGAAGATGACTATGAAAGATTTGCTAAAAACAAATTTCAGGAAAGAATTTGAAGTTCAATATTCACCTATTCACCAATGACTACGAATAGAAAGAAGTTTACTTTTGGACTCTATTTTCTTAAGTTGGGTACTTAACTTATTAGGATAAGTTTCATGGTAAATTTAAGGTTTACTCTTTGTTTTAGAAATAGGTTTATTGAATAAGTACTTGATTAAGCTATATATTCTATTTTAATACTTAAAAATAGAATTAATGCTGAAAAATATAAATTTTATTTTTAAATTAAGATAACTGTATAATATTTATAAAAATAAAAATAAAAGCTAACTTTTTATTTTAAAAAATGTGCTCAATAAATTTGCAAGTCAAATGCCACAAGAGAAAATTGAATATTCATAATTTTGTTCAACTATTGGCTAGAAAGTAGAAACTCTCAAGTACTATACACGCTTACATGACATCATCTATTAATTTTCTTTTCACTTACACTTTAATCATATAAGAAGGTCTTAAGTTAATACAAAGTTCAATTCAATTGGCAATGTCTTGTTAGAAAGATACTTCTCCCTTATGATTTTTAGCATCATAAACTAACACCTTGTGATAAAACATAATTTTACAATGAAAGGTGTTTACTTATCAAAATTTTGTTTTGTAATAGTTTATGTATTTTTCATTGAGATAATTTTGAACTAGCAAAATTTTTTAAAAATATTTTTAGAAACTTAATCTCAAAATCATAAATTAACATAATTTCACATTTATTAATTCATATGTTCAATATTTTATAATAAATTCAATTTATTAAATAAAAATATTTAATCAACTTATTTTTAATACTTATATAATATTCATGTCTTAGTTGAAGACTCTTTAAGATATTCATGTCTTAAAAATTAAAATAATACTTGTAATATGAGAATTATGCAAATGTCTCATTAGGCTTAGATGAATTTATTTATAAAATATCTAAAATATATTTATTGTTGACTTGATTTAAAATAAATTGTAATGTTAACTCTTTGAAAAATAAAAATTACTAGTTTTATTCTTTATTTACTAGCTCACTTTATAGCTGTCTTTTCATTAGTAATTGTTAGTTGAGAAAAAAATTGAGAAAAAGGTGCAGAAAATATAATATTTAATTTTAATAAATATATTAAAGATAAACATCATAAGTAAAGGGAGTAAGAATTCTTGAATCATGGATAATTCTAATAAAATACCTAGCTCTTTCATTACCGATCCTATTTATCTAAATTCTCTAATGTCTTTAGTAAAATCTTGTGTCAAAATAACTACTAAAAGAATACAAAACCTGATAAAATATATTTATATCCCTAATGATGATAAACTCTCTGAAACCATCACACCACTATTAAGTCAATATAATGACTTCGAAAGAAAAAAATTCAAGTCAATAAGATTAACATGCTTATTCTTAGAAAATAGTCTCTTATTAAGAAATGTGTTCAACCTTCAAGAATGGACTAGTGTGAACTGAGAGCAACTCCTTAAGAATAATATATAGATCTCAAAATTCCAAAGATGTTTATAGAATCTTAGAGACATGAAGGATATACATCTTTACCATTGGTGTTGTAAGACGCATTTTGTCTTTTCATGGCAAAAAGAATCTATACCGGTGATCACTAGAATAGCTTTCTTGGATACTACCTATCTTCATTATGAGCATGCAGTAATTGCTACCTTACTAACTACCCTTTATGCAAGGAGTGTAGTTTTGACATTTTTTCCCAACTACAATGTATCACTCAGATATTACACCTTTCCTAACAAGACTTAAATTCCAAGTCCAAATCACAAGAACACAGTTTGCTACCTTTCATCATCAGATGATTTATAAGCTTCAAAATGATGCCTATGATCTTTCAATACCAGTAAGTGCACATGACATGACAACTTGTTTATCATTGCCAATAGTGATGAAGAATAAGTTTCATCTATCATTCAAGTTCCTAGACAAATGTCTGAAGAAAAGTTCATCTCTTGAGTGGGTTACAAACTCTGAAAAAGGTCATCTAAACAACAGGCCCATCCAGACTTTTAACATAACATTTTAAAAATTTGTTGATGGATCTGTAAAAACCATATTCAAAAGATCAGAAGTTGAACCTAGCCAATTCTTAAGCTACTTCCAATCTATGACAGTAATTCTTGTAGAAAGGGAAGATGGAATTCATATTTATAGCTTCAAATATAATGGATCTATGATTTTTTAAAACAAGTTTGATAGACACTTTATATGTGATGTTGATCCTTCCACCTGTGATTCAAAATATAATCGGTGGATGCATGCTGGAGAAACCTTTGAAGAAGAAGATCAACCAAAACAGAAGAAAAAACCCTGCAAACTTCTTCCTAAACCCAGAAGGAGAGACCCAAGAAACACACCTTGGGAAGGAATCCACAAGAAGAGAGAACCTTTACCAATTTACTATAAAACTCACAGGATATTACGAAAAGAAAGTCTCAACCCAGACCCTTCAAATGATCCAAATCTTATCATATGGCCTCCTCCATCTAATTCATGTAAACCTACTATTATGACACTTGAGCCAATTCCATGCATGATGTTTTCATCCCATCAAGCCAATATGAAATAAGATTTTTCTTCCCTTGAAAGAAAATTTAATCTTGTTTTAAAAGTTTCTGCAAAGCCACTGATTATACCAAATGAGGTACACCCATATGAGAAGCTCAAACCCTAGTCCCAAGCTAAAGAAGTCTTAAATTGGCAATCTTAAAACTCCAAAGCTCATAATATCATCTTCAAAAGGATAGATACCAAGATTGACCAAATATTGAGCAACTTGGACAAAACTAATAAAAGACTAAAGTATTTATCTAAAAAAGCTTAAGAAATACTATAAAAAATAAAAAAAAAGACAAATAGAGAAGCTTGAAGAAGAAATAATAGAAAGAAATAACAGAAATGCTAAGAGATAAGGCCTACTTCACTAAAGAATTCAACTAGAAGGGGAGAGAAATTCAAAGCTTGAAATCTGCGATAAGAGAAATGGATGATATCATCAATTCTGAGCTCTAACCTCAGATTAAGGTTAAACCATAAATACATTCTTTCTTTGCTTCTCCACTAACACCTTCAACCTACTACTCTCCCTCTAAAACACTTTCATTATTCCCCATAGCAACATACACAACACCTTTCAATACACTTTCCCTCTACATATAGGCCAAAAAATTCTTCAAAGACAAAAGTAAAAAATGAGTCTTTCCTCTATTGGCACTGTAATTGAAACCTAACCTTTGGATTCCTCTAATACATCAATATTACATATAAATCTACATTTTACTACAATTTTAGCTTAATTTTTAATAGTAAAATAATAAATAAACATGAAAATACCATAAAAATTGCATTTATATTCATAATTGTATAAATAGTTTAGAAC